GCGCGCTCCTCCGCCGTCTAGTCCTTTCAAGCGCGGAGACCACACCATGACGGTGCTCTTTTTGCGCTGTTTGATTGGCCCTTTGGCTCATAACATCGGCCGCGCTCGGACCGAAGCTGAGACGAAGTATAGTCAGTAGCGTGTCTGGCTCGAACGCAAGGGGCCGTGAGTTCGAATCCAGCCTAAATTCCTTTAATTTTTTAAGGCATTTGAATTACTTTATAAAGGTCGCCGCATGTATCGTTTAGTACATGCGACGACCTTTAATTTGCATGACGTGGCATGTTTTTTAATCACTTTCATTCCACGCGTGTCGCCACGTTCACGTGAGCGTTGTGGGTTGTTTGAAATTCCCGCGCAAGGTCACGTGGCTGTGACGTCATGACCCTATCGACCAATCAAGATCTTCGCGTCACGCCACCGACGTCGGATATTCTGCCATGCCACCGAGGCCGGCGCGACACGAGCTCCTTAAAGCCGGGGTCACACCACTCATTCACCCAACAAAAGGCCATGTTGAATTAACCTGAGACTGGGGGAATTAACCCGAGACTGCACCCCTTACGATACTTTCTGCAAAAGACAATCTCTAAACACGAGTCACCGCAATATCCTTTGTTCGAATGCCGCGTGCCAAGTTTTCTCTTTGAACTCATTGCCATGCGGCCTTCAAAACACGGATCTCGCTGTGACTCGCGTTCGAGTAGACCGATCTTACTAACCGTTTGGCGCATGCGTGACGCCACCAGAACTTTAGTTCACAGGAGGCAGATGTAAAGCACCTTCATGTTTCAAAAGTAGCGCAAGGTTCGTCGATGCACGAGGCACGCGCCTTTGGGAAGATCATGGCGGCACAGCGCAGCACTGAGCTAGATTTCAGACGCCATGAATTTCCCAGAAGTGGCGCGCGGCACATGCCTCGAGCATTTCTACAATGAATGGCGCCACTTTTCCCAGGATTACAGTGTTCTAGAGGATGTAGTGGCAAGAGCGGCGCCCGCTTACAATGAAGCGCGTGAAGACGGTCGACGTAGATACTGCGAGTGGCGCTGGAGTTCTGTGCCTTAGGATTATTAATGGCACGTGTGCGATGAACGAAGAAGACGACGAGGGTGACGCGGTACGCTCCTCCAATATGTAGCACCGTAGAACTTCTTTCGCAGCTATTAAGCCTGCAGCACAAGTGATAGCGTTGCTAAACGATGTGTCAGTACTGGAGGGGGAGTCGATATTAATTAAATAATCTCCCTCAAAACACGCGAATATTTCAAGTAGAGGATAGCACACACTCTAGAGGCATTAGTCCAAAGGCAGAACTACAATTTACTACAGAAGAACATTAGCAGTTGTTTCGCACCGCGAAAAGCTCCAGTCAAACCACAGTAGTACGCGCCGAACAGCACTGATGATGGGGCTGACGGGGGCGCGCTCCTAAGGCACAGAACAGCAGCGCCATGGTGTCGTCTACGCGCAAAATCTTCACAAAGCGGCCGCCGCTCTTGCCACTACAACCCCCTCTAAAACACTGTACCAGGATAGGGGGGGTTTATGAAGATGGCCGTGCATGAGAGGGCTCGTGCCGTCTAGTGCTCCACACGCGAACCAGCTCTAGCGGGGTTGTCGCACGTGCAGAAAGACTAAAGTTCCCTCGATGCATTTGCGGTGGCGGTGGAGTAGTCAAACTGGCAGGTGAAATCGGTCTATTGGTCTGCAGGCTGTCTTTTGTATGATGTATAAGAGCTCAATTCAGTGTAGGAATGCATCGGTGGCTAATAGTCGAGGCCTGGATGCGGCATACTATTTAACCATAAGCCGGTCACTGCTTTTGGCATGGTATACGGGAACACCCGCGGCGCGCATGTACCGCCTCCGTACAAGACGGATCGCGGCGACTTGTCTCCGTCAAAGGTTAGCATTGCCGTGTTGGTCTAGCCTAGACGTCGGGCGGCAACCACGTGCACCTTCTCCGATTCCAGTTCAAGGTTGAGTACTTCGTCTTGGAGATCTTCTTGTAGGGTGTGAATGTCGTAAATTACCTTCTTGCAATAGGTTGCGCCGTAAGTGCGAAAGATTTGAAGGGATACTCTATTGCCCTCGATGTCGACCTCGACGATCTTCTCTAGGACGGCCGCCAACGCCTCCGAGTCAATCCTGACCGAGATGGAATTGGCCTTTCCTATTAGGTACGTGGTGTATGTCGTTGGTGCTTGTGTGCTGTTTATAGAAGCACTTTGAGTCTTGGAATGCGGCGCGATCGAAGTACGCGATCTTGTAAGGCGGATCTTATACTTGAGTTGCCGACGCTTTTGGGGCTTGGCGACACCCCACGTTATTGCTTGTGCATTCGGGTTCCCCCGTGCCCGTCTGCCTTTTTTTGTGTGTGTTACGGTGACCCAAAGGCGCTTCCGCTCCCGTAGCTGCAGCTCCTTTCCCCCGTCATGTCGTGGGGCTGACTTGGCGGAGGAGTATCTGACGTAGCGCCTGCAGGCGTGCGTGTAGGAACGGTCGACACCTTCTCGTTGGTCTTTTTGGCTTTCGATTTCTTTGGCTGCTTTCCGGCAACAAGGACGATGTTGTGCGTCTCTCCTAAATTGCTTTTGAAAATGTCTACGAGACTCTTTTTCGAAGTGCTCGAAAGTAAAGTTCGTAGAGTCTGCTCAACAGTCGGTGCTGAGCTCTCTGGTGAAGAAGTGGCTTGGCTCACCGAAATGGAATGCAGTGGGCAGCTCAATGACCGGTGTCATGACTAGCAAGGGTTTCGCTGGGGTCGAACCTGCCGGCATCATTGTCTTTTGACAACCGGCCCCCTAGACTATCGAGACGGGGTGTATTAGGTGCTAGGCCTAATATCAGGAGCCTAAGAAAAACCTGTCCGATTTCTTTGTTACCTTCCTAATGTATAAAAGTATGATTCCGGCTTAACGCTATCGCGTTAAAATATTCGTGCATGGTTCGCGCAGACATATCTTGCACGTGACATAATCGAACCGTGCTGGCGGTTATTCTGAGTCATTCCTACTTGCTGTTGCTGTGAGAAACAAATTACTTCTCGTCACAATAGCTGGTGAAAATAATAATAATAATAATAATAATAATAATATATATATATATAATTATCTTCGCATCTGCAGGTTGCAGACGCCGGAGCCACTAATAAAAAGTCAACACATATTGACTTGACGAGGCCCAGGCACCGTGCACTTTGGCAGACAGCTACGGGGATACAAAAATAACTGCAAAGATTATATAGCAACAGGCAACTAGTAAAATACGTACATAAAAGAGGTAGGTTTAAGAGGTCTAAATATAAATTCTATACACAAATAAGCACAATGATTTAGGGTTTATTTTATAAATGTCCACGTCATCTGCATTATACTTGTTGAGCAGTGATGGTAGATTATGTTGTAAAGACTGGTAACTGTACTTCTTACGAAACGGAAACACTTTTCATTCCTCAGAGTAGTGGGTGCTGATGGCAGGCACGTTCTTGACCAATCCTGATGTTTCTTTTAGAAAAAATAATACATTCAGGGGAAGAAAAACGAAATGACCGAGTCAAAATGTACTAATAAAATCGATGTCTATTTACGATTTTGTATCGTGAAAATAGAGATGTGTGTAGGGTCCCTCAATGCGAACCCTCAGTGCGGGACAGTCCTGCGACCCGCGGGACTGTCCCGCATTGAGGGCTCGTGTCCCGCGTCCCGCAAGAAATTCTCTAATGTTCAAAATGTCCCGCATTTCATACTGTAGTAAAAGTCACTCTGCAACTCGTGGCGCGGCCGAACAAACGGTGCACGGGGAAGCGCGGAGGTCGCTGGTAATCGTGTGAATCGCAATGGTACACCATTTTCTATCCAAGCATTGCGGGAAGCAACCGTCGTTCTTGCAGTAGACGCGACGCGCATGCTCCGTTGTGCCTCACCCCTCGGTGGCAAAATATTCTAAAAAAAATTGTTCGCCAAAAGTTTCAATATAAAATATTGCGCTTATTTTGAAATCGCTGTGTCAGTGCGAAGGGCTGTTGTGGATTTTTGTTTTAGTGAAGGCAGCCATACAAGGCAAAAAGCCTGCAACTCGCAACGGTCAAAAAAAATTATAATGTTTAAAATTTGTGCAGGACCATGTTGATAAATGTAAGTGTTGACGGGAAACATTAACCCGAAAAAGATTTACTGTTTCTTATTTTCATTTGATGCGTTGAGTTCTGCTACAGTCGATTTTTATGTTTTCAACTTCGGCACATTTAATAACACATTTGGTATAAAAATATATCACTGGGAGTGAAAATTAATTGAGCCTATTTGCTGCGAAACAATTAGCACGTGTATAACCAGCACAGGATGTTACATGTGTTCACAGAGGCTGGGTTGTGGTGCTTTTGTTAATAAATTTCGCCCCCCCCCCCCCCCCCACCCCCCTCTCGCGTGTCCCGCATTTTGCTAGCAGGAAGGTGGTCACCCTAGCTGTGTGGGAAAAAATGAACGTTTCGAACAAAGGCAAAACTTTTCTTTTTTGTAGTAATAATTGTTTTTATTACTACAAAAAAGCCCTCTCGCGACGCCCAAACGAGATGGCACTAAGCTATTTGGGATTAAAATAACGCATGATATATTTGTAGTTTTATTTTTTTTCGGGGAGAATGGCTCTACAACGTGCAACTACACCAACAATTCTGCATAATTTATTGACGACTTGGTTTACGTGTTTATCCCCATTGCAAGTTTTCTGAAAATATAATTCCAAATGTTTTATGCATTTTCACTAATTCGATCGATATGGATTGAAAATGGAGAGTTTCATTTATATTTACGCGTTTACTGAAGGATTTGAATAAAATGTTTTTCTTTGGTTTCATTAATATGGAGGCCATTTCTTTGCGACCACAGAAAATGACGTGACGTGAATAAAAGCCTCGCATATGTGACGTCATTAATGTCACTCTTTACTGCAACCTTTTTTTCCCCCCATGAACACAACGAAAGGAAGGCACAAACCTGCAGATGGGCTTCGAGGAGGTTCCTCTTGGCCACCTCCAAGACCTCGGTGCTCTTCAAGTTCAGCTTGAGCGTGACGTTCATGGGCGTCGCGCTCACCCTGTACAGGAGCTCGCTCAGGCTCACTGTCCAGTTTTCGTTGACGGGACGCGGGAGCACGGCCGATCCGTCCACCAAGACCACGTCCGCCTCCACGAAGGGCGCCGAGTCCCTCTGCAGTGCATCCTGGAGCAGCGCGCGGCTGTGCGTCGCCCTGTTCCAGCGGACAGAAGACACGTCCGGTGTCACCTCGGCGGACACGACGATGCAATGCACGAGCGATGCAATGACCCAAAAGGAGGCGGCCATTGTTCCCTCCAAAGCTGCAGTCGCTTGATTCGACTGGGCTCTGCGTGCCGTTCTTTTTATAGCGAGTGTACCCCAGACAGAATAACCATACGCTCGTCGGCGCGCAGACACTTCAGCGGGAGAGTGTTTCTTGTGGCTTTTTGTTTTGACTTTCGTCTTCTGCGGTGTTCTTTTCCTTTGGCGTCGGGGGAGGAGAGGAGGAAAGGGGTGGGGGGAGGGGGCTGTAGCTCGCCAGTTGGGTCTCATGTTCGCCACTAATCGTCGTCAAGGTCAGGAGTCAAGTTTCCATCGGCGACCGCTGTCCCCTCTAGGTTTGTTGTTTTCGTTGCTAGCTGTTCTTGCTCTTTATTGGTCGGACGATATTTCCTTATATACGTCTCGAGAGGAATGACAACCTTTTCTTTTTACGTCGTTAGGGCTTGTTGCCTTTCTATTACAAAATGGCGCGAAAGATTGGGACCTAGTCGAAGAGACACTGGAAAGATTCCATTCTGAGATAGGCGTATATTGCCGCAAACGTGGCGAAGTTGGCAAGTGACGCGGCTGACACGTGAAGGAACGGGGTTCCAATCCCACGCGGTCCGGGTCTTTGTTTTATCGATCAGTGTTCTTCTGGAAAGATCCAGCCGATTCTCGGCTGTCATTGTGTTTTGGATCAGAACAAGGTCTTTCCATGCCAAACGTACCAGACAATAATGCCGACCATCGCCGATTTTTTAAAACAAAAATAGTTGTCTGCGCCGACATTTTTAAAGAAAAATAGTTGTAGTTGTCTGCTAAGTTTTAAATAAACTGCAGCCAAAATATTTTTAGAAAAAAATAATTTAAAAAAACCTCTTGATCACGTGAGCACTATTTATGAAAAGTCTAAGTGATCCAAATGGGATAGTTAAACGACTTTTAAATACTTGCTGGGGCTGTTCTTTTGTATGATACCAGAGTTAATATTATGTAAGAGATTTTTTTTTTTTTGTGTTGGTTTTGCAGGAGTAAACCACAAAACTAAACATGTTGCGCATTAAAAAAAACGTTGAGTGTGAAGATATTTTAAACACCTATCTGGGCTGGTAGGTTGCTATAGTTGACGCTTAAAATTAGCTGAGACCAATAAAACAAACAAGTTTGTCAAGAATGAATATCAAAGTTGCCTAAAACGGACTTCTGTCTGGAGCTTCAGACCCAAATTAGGCATCAGAGTCCCTCTGATTAAAATGTGAGGGACAACTCATTAGGTACTTAAACTTCTTACCTCGCAATTACTAACAAATTTATCAATTCAAATTTTGTTTTAAGCGAGAGAAACAGAATGAGTTGAGCACCGCCGCAATAGGTTTTCCTGGTACCGTACTGGGGTGTCTTTGCCGCACAACTCGCACGCACTGCCGATAAGTCGAGACGTGCCACTTGCCTTGTTTTACTACTTATTCCAGAACAACGCAGTTCAAGGTACGTGCGGTACCTTGAACTTTATACCCAAACGCTATGCGCTAGATGTTCAGCGACAAGTGTGTGAGGTCCACAATACTGTACCGCGAAAACTAATGAACCCCGGAGAAAAGCTCACCGGAGACGAGCTCACCTGGGAAAAGCTCACCGGAGATAAGCTCACCGGAGAAAAGCTCACCGAAAAACTAACGGATGAGGAGAAAAGCTCACCGGCCATTGTGCGTATGCAGAGAAAAGCTCACCGATTTTTTTCTTCTTTTTATATGGAGGCTGTTGGATCATGCGTAAAATATATCAATTTATTATCATTAAAATTCGTCAGCTTTGCAGAAAAGAAAATGTCCTTTTTCGTAATATTTGTTAAGCTTATTGGGTATATTGTTCCGAAATTAATAATTGCGGGCGAGTGTTTTTTGTGGCTTCCACTCTAGGCAACGAAAGCCTAACGGCCCAACTGAAAACTTAATGAACTTGAAGAACAGGAAAATGTTCGAACACTTATTAATATTTGCCTAAAACCTAAAAATCAAAACTGTAAATGCCGAAAATTTGAAAGCGCACGCGCAACAGCGCGGTGCTTGAAATTTTCTTTGAAGCTTTTGTTAATCTTTGAAAACAGGATAAAACAGTCAGTAGGATATCGAGGCTTCTTTCTTCCACGGACATGCACGTTTTCTAGCCGTTCGTGCTGATGTTTCCACACGTTGCCTTTGTGTGATAGTGCCCTTCTACGGTGAGCCACTCATGACCTTCAAAGCTGCACACTGGCACCGTTGTTACTCGTGACCTATATAAGAAGTAGTCTTCTGTAAGCTAGTGAATCGGGCGAGTTGGTAAACGTTATACATGATGAAAACCGCTCGAACGATGACGACGGAGTGAAGGCAACAAACACGACAGGATGAAGCTGTTCTCGCAACTAAAGGTTTGTTAGTCAAATTAACAAAAATACAACAGCGTAGCCGACACTGATTAAATCAACAAATACCTACTTATCTACTAGGCATTACACAATATTTGGAGCTGAAACGGTTTGTACACCGCTATCCATATTAGCTCGCAAAGAACAAACCTCTTGATCTGACAGAGCTACCGACTGCGCACTGTCAGCTGTCGATAAATTCTTGTCTTTTTTACCTGTGTGCGATGTTCTGATTTTATACCCTCGCGGCTTCATTAATATACGAAATAGTTGATTACTAATTTCTGAGGAATTAGTAAATATGCACAATGAACTTCAAGAATATTACAAAAAAGAGAACATATTTTCAATGAAGTGACGAATGCGAATTGTGTTAAATTGCCATGCTTGGCGCAGAATCCGCTAAGTTAAAAGAAAAAAATCGGTGAGCTTTTCTTCTCATCCGCTCAAACGCCGGAGAGCTTTTCGCCGCATCTGCCGGTTTTGCGGTGAGCTTTTCTCCGGTGAGCTTATCTCCGGAGAGCTTTTCTCCGCCGCCCAAAATTACGCCGACTTAAAAAAAATAGACAATATTTATTTTGATAAAATGTGCTTAGTTATAAGGTAAAAAGCTAATATACCTGACGAGTTGTCCACCATATTTTTTTTATCACCCTGGTCCTTGATGCTTAATTTGGATCTGGAGCATCAGAAAAAGTTAGTTTTGGGCAACATTGATCTTTATTTTTGAAAAAAAAAACAAAAAAACTGCTTTGCTTTTTCGTTTATTTTCATCGTAAACAATAGCAACAGACCAGTCCATTTAGGTCTTTAAAAAATCTTCAAGGTCAACAGGGTTCGTGCAGTGAAAGCACAAAAAAACAAATCTGTTACATAATATGAATTCTGGCATCGCACGAAAGAACAATCTCAGGACAGTATTTAAAATAATTGAGCTACCCCGTTTGAATTTGAATTTGTTAAACTAGTTCGGCTTAACTGCGTAAATGTCAGAGAACGCTCATGTGACCAAGAACAGGGAGTCGAACCGGTCCGATGATTATTCCGATTCGGTTAGAGTTCGGATTCAGTAGTTTTGCATTTTGTTCCGGTTCGGTTCTGATTCCCTGATGAATTCGAAAAACTGTTCGGTTACCGGCTTTATAACCGGTTGTTAAAATAAAAAAAGTCTACAATCTTATTTGGTTAAAAAGAAGTGTGTTCAACGTGGCTTCATTTGCATAAAAAAGATTGCCTCGATCATTCTGAAGATAGAGCGAGTAGGCAGGCGAGCTGATTGATGTTACACATTTTTGAAAACCGGAAACGACGGATGATAAGAAAGGGGACAACACACGAAACGTCTCAAACGCAGCTACTAAACATTATCGGCACAGTTTAACTCGCCCCCATCAAAGGAGTGGCCAACATGTTCCGGCTATCTGCTACCCTCACCACTTACTACTACTAGTACTACTTGGCACAGTCATTTATATATCACCCATCCCACACGTGTCCCGGAATTGCACACGCCACTGGGACTTTTAGCCAGAGTACATCTCGTCTTGACCTTATTTCAAACCACCGCACTCAGTTCGTACACAGCATTGCAAACAAAGCCCCGTTGTCACAACTGCCAAGGTCGGACCCAACCAACCTTTACACAAACATCAGGACCTAACCAGCATCTCGTACAAAGGACAAACACAAATCTCCAAACACAGCTAGGTAACTGTGTTTGGAGATTTGTCTTTGTCCATTGTCCCTCTAGTTCCCCTTCTCCAGGGATTATTTTCGTCATTCTTGTCCAGCTCGCTTGCACCTTTGCATTTAATTGCATTATAATCATAACCTTAAATTGCAAGCTTCACCCTTGTTGGTGTTAGACTGGTGGCAACTGATAAAACCCGTTTCCTCCGCTGACGTCTAACCCCTGGTTAGCTCAGTTGGTAGAGCGCTCCACCAGTAATGCAGAGGTCCCGGGTTCGATAACCGGACCAGGCGGAGTTTTTCGGTAGCGCACCAGTCACCTAGCTGTGTTTGGAGATTTGTGTTTCTCCTTTGTCCCTCTAGTTCCCCTTCTCCAGGAATTATTTTCGTCATTCTTGTCCAGCTCGCTTGCACCTTTGCATTTAATTGCATTATAATCAAGTGTATTATGCGTCCATTATGATTTGAAGTTCCTGGTTGCGGGGAGCTTTGGTTGGTTTTGGACGTGCTGCACACTCGGGATCTCCGGGATCATCAGAATGATCGAGACAAGTTAAATTTCTTCGGGAGTAGGGTGCGTCATGTTTTCATGAGAAGTTTTCCGCGGGTTCTGCTCATTCGATGAGTGCGTGTACCGACCTCAATTTTGAGTGATCTTTGATTGTAAGGAGCCCCTTGTTGTTGCTGAAGTGATCGCGAAAGGAGGAGGTTTATCGTGCCCTTCACTATATCAATACACCATTTGCTATATCCATCAAGTGCCGGCCCGCGCTAAAAGAATCATGGGAACGGTGTTCCTTCAGCTCTTTAGCGATCGGCAATTTCGACCCTATCCTTGGTTACACAGATTTTGAGCATAGTTCAGAGTCACCCTCAACAAGCGCCTGATATACACCAATGGCCTGTCATATCGCTTTTAAAGTTTTTCCTCAACACCAGCGCTTTTGATACTGTGCATGCGATCAGCCTTTCAACCTGGCTGAGCTTCAGAAATCTCTTAAAATATTATCATTCTTTTACAGCTCAAAGACGCTGATATTAAGTTAGAAATGCCAAGAATAC